TTTTATTGATGTAGGGACCTATTTAAAAAGTTAGCAATTTCAGGAACGTGCCCACATGTTCCCCCCCACCCCCCTCCCCATGGGAAGTTTCTAGATCTACCTTTGGTTTGTAAGTGAGACATGCAGTGAGACATGAAGTGATACATGAGGCGTATCGGCCGCGGGCCATCATCAGCCTCCCCACCAAATCTCTGCAACCGACGAGGAAGCCCCTTGTTCCGCTCGCATGTAAGCTCACCGCACAACCCCTGTCGGAGATCGAATCTTAACGTGCGGTCCTGCGATTGCTTGCTCACCACAACATTGCTGCCGGAGGGGCCTCGAGTTAAGATGGAGCTCTAGGGAGTCACAACATTGGTGCTGGAGGGGCCTCGAGTTAGGAGGGAGATCTAGAGAGCCCCTGTGGAAGATATTTTGGCCTACTCTTCCACGCCTGCTCTGGACGTCTTGCCCACCCCCATCGTGAAAATTCCTAAAGCCACCGGTCGGCCACGCATAAACAATCGCTTAGCAAAACGCGACAATTGTGTCGGTTGGTGAGGGGTTAATGACTAGAATTTGGACCTAACACTACCACCACGCGGTCTAATCCAAGAACAATATGGGTCAATAATGGCACCGTTGCTGAAGCGTGCTCTGGTGCCCGCCAGTGTACGTGAAACCAGCCCACGCTGTTCCACCGCGCAGAGCAGGCTGTTTGGCTCGGCTGTCTTGTAAAACATAGCGGAGGGGTGACGTACTTCTGCGCTGGCAGGGTCCCAGTGTCTGCATAGATGCAAACAAGCGGACCGCCGGACGGCTGAAACGCCGCGAGTTTGCACAGCAGGGGGCACAGGTGGAGCATTTGTCAGTCATTTCAGTCAGTCACCCAGCTCACGGCGCCTGGGCCTGTTCCGTGACCTGCCAGCGGGCGTTGGAAACCTCATGTGGCCTTCAAGTGCAAGCTAAAGACAAAGATCCCGACTTTTTAGCCTTACGAGACTGTTGGGACATGTACTGTTAGCGAGCACCTTTGAAGGCCGGCACTGCACACGAGGGGGTGGGTGGCCAACACCACGCCCGGCCGCCTTTGTCTCCCCAGTGGTGATGTTTACACACCGCACCAGGTACTCATTTGTGGCTGAATTGGCCAAGCAGGAGGCCCAGGACCAGTTCCCCCTAGCTTGGCACACGTGCCGTGGTGACGTCACCGCCACTCGGTGGTGAACGGCGGCTGTTGATGTTGTTGTTGACGACGACTGCCATCACCCTCTTACTTTGCTGTTGGCAGTGGGCACAGACGGGGGCATCTTGTAGCGTTTGCGCTTGAACCGTTTTTGGGAGTCGCGAACGCGCAAAAAATTGCCGTTGCGTTTTCCCCCGCCACTCGCTTCCACGCTTCGAAAAGAATGACAGAAAGGGAAGCACGGGGGGTCGGGGGTGAAAAAAAAAGCGCCACATTTTCGGGTTCCCTTCAAAGTGGAGTAAACACTCTCATCTGCGTGGCAGCGCGACGTGCCGCACTGTTGTGCGACGCAGCAGTTGTGTCATTAGTGAGCAATCGCCGCTGTTGGGGACCCGCTTTTTTAAAATTCTTTTTATCTGCCTAATTGTTCGCTCTGTAATTGGGGAATCAACGTGGAGATGCTCGCGCGTCTGTGAATGCGTGCGTCCCCGCACCCCCCCCCGCCCCCTCCCACGCTGTGTGTGTTCTTGTCGCAGAAGTGTTCCGTGTTTGAACCTCAAGCAAACGTGAGCAGAATGCTCCATTCTGCGTCTCCAGGGTGCGTCTGTATATGTACGTACGTACATTGAACTTCTTTCATCAACCGCACTAATCGGAGGTGCGGGGGGAAGGACAACAAACTAAACGCAAAAAGCAGTTCTTAAGAAATTAGTTTTCAATCTAGATTGTTTAAAATTGCATAGCTCTGGTGGCTTCCGAATATCAGGAAGGGAAAGCGTTCCCAACGGCCACAGAAGCGGATCCGACAGCGCCACGCGATGCGGTGACCGACTTTATTTGACGGCTGAGCTAGAAGTAGCTGTTGCGAGGATGGCCGGAGTTCGCGCCATGATGGTTCTTGCGATGATGGTTCTTGCGATGATGGTTCTTGCTCCTTGACGAGATTTGCAAGGGATTGTGGTTCATCTGTGGCAAGCATTTTGTGTGTAAATGAGTGCAATTAGAAATACGCTTCCGACCGTCGGTGTCTCTTTTCAAATTAATATTATCGCAAAGCATTTTGTTCAAGCGAGAAAACCCTGGACCGGTTTCAACCCTATGGGTCTCGTCAGCAGAGCAAGGCATGTTAAACAATTGCTGCCGGATTAGCACACCTTACTAGGATGGGCGCTCTTAAGTTTGAATAACAAAATAGATGAGTAGACAAAATAAAAATTTCATATATCTGTCTTCACATAAAACAAAAGAGTAAGATTTTGATTTAAAGTTTTTGTGACTGCAGTCACGTAGAAGGGAGGGAAAAAAAATGTGTTTTATATTTTTATTATTTTATTATTTCCCTTCGTGACTTTACCGAAAGAACCAAGAATATAAAAGAGTAAGAGTTTATTTTTCTGACACGGATGATCCCGTTGAGATTTGTCGTGCGTGAGTGCAGCAGCAGCAACAGCGGCAAAAGACCAAAAGTGTCAACATTGCGGATAACGAGTGTTACAAAGTGTCCTGACGGGACATTGTGCAACTGACAAACGAGAACATGACGGTCGTGAACAGAAATCGACGCGGATCGGGTGAAAAATAACGGAAAAGTTAGGTGACGTGCCAGGTGAGCTCCGCCACCTTAGTCTTAACAGTGACGTGAAAATAAGCGAATCGGGATAAAGACGGTGCTACCGTGCGAGTGCGAGCGTGCGGGAGCAAGATGCCCCGTGGCCTTGTAAGGAGTGTCATTTCAGCAGACTCGGTTGAGTATAACAGTACCTCGGTGTGCATTTCTTCTACAAACGAAATTTCGGTAAAACAAACTTTGGATTTTCCGACATTACTTGAAACGTGAAAGCTAAAAATCTAATAGTTGTATACTGAAATGAATAATAAGTTTATCGATATACGGTGCTCTACGAATTAGAATACATTTCTAATTCTTCAACGTGGCGCATCGCGCTTTCCTTTGTTATTTTTTTATTTTAATACTGTACAGTGTAAAATATAACGTTGTTTTCGACATCACTTGTCTTTAAAGCATGAATGGTAAGTCACGAAGTGTGTATACAGTATGAAATGGCAAGTTTACGAAAGCTGGGAACGCATCCTCAGTACTAATGTTGTAAGTTACTTGATGTACGAGGGTTTCGGTGTACAAGCAATGATCGGGGAACGCATCCACTTGGTTTGTCGAGGTATTGCGATGCAAGCAAGCTCTGGATCGGTTTCCAGTAGCTCGTCAGCTCGATTTAATTAATGCTGCTCAACTGCCAAATGTTGTAGACAATAACCCTCTCTTTAAGATCTGGTTCAGAGTTCAACTCACAGTTACATCATACAAACACAACAGTAGTTACGTAAACATAATGTGTTATGTAATTTTGCTTTGCACAGACGCACGCTTGGCATGTATGTATGTATGTTGTGTGTTTGTGGAATTTCTTTCACACTTACATAGCCAACCGTGATAATCGGAGGTGGGGGGGAAAGGACAACAAACTTAACACAAAAAGATATTTTTAAAGAAATGAGTTCTCAATGTACATGATTTAAAAGTACCAAGCTCCAGTGGCTTCCAAATATCGTAAGGAAGAGCGTTCCAGACGGCTGCAGAAGCGCATCCGTAACCGCGCGCAATGCAGTGGCCGTCTTCGCAAAGACAGTCACTGCATTGCACGCTTACAGTTGTGCGGGAGAAGGACAAAAAAATAAACGCAAAAAGTAGTTATAAAATAACGAGTTTTCAATCTAGATTTGAAAGTGCATCGCTCCAGTGGCTTCTTAATACCCTAATCAAGAGCGTTCCAGATGGTCGCAATAGTACATCTGAAAGTGCGCGATTGCTGTTTACGTTACATCATCACGGGGTGGGACTGATGGCGAATAATTAAGAGCAACCCTTGTCGTGGACATGTGGTCACGTGGGGACATGTGGTGCTGGCTCAACTATGCGACTCCAGCGTTGTTCTCTCACCGCTGTAACAAAAACATTTGACGATTTATGAGATTTAATTTTGTCCGTCCGTCCGTCGTACTGCGAGTCTGTCTTGTCAGCCGCAGCACTCACTCGAGTGATTTTCAGCTGAAGAGCTGGGCGAGTGCTCACTGACCGGAGGCAGGACCAGGGAGCTATGGTGTTGATGATAAGTTACGTAGTAACTGTCTGACTGAGCTAAATCTAAAAAATCTTACGACCGACATTTTTTACAATCCCAATGTTCTTGGGGTTGCAGACATTTCCGTACCCTCTTTCCTGTTCCGCTACATTTTATGCACAGGCACGGATGCTTTTTTTCCAATCCACTGCTGGATGAAGGCCTTCCTCCCCATGCTTTGGCTTGTCATGAGGGTTGTTTGGCCGTACTTTTTCCACGCCGGTCAGTTCGGGTTGGTGAATCTGTTGGTACGGGGGGGGGGATGCATCCGGGACGGTTTTCCGATATCACTCGCCGCTGATGTTAGTCGTGGATTTTACATCAAAGTCGGGTCAACTGGTTTGTCGCGCAGTGCACTAACCACTGCCGCACTTTTGCACCCCGCTTTAAGCTGCCGTGCCTCTTAAACTCAACCAATGTCGGCGAGATTGTTGCGGTTTTCCTCTGGTTTCCACCATCGCCGCAGTGACACGGTCCTGGGCGTTCCCTAGATCAGCTTAGCCTCAAATGAGTACCTGTTGCATTGTGCAAACAATCGCCACTGTGGAGGCAAAGGCGGCCAGGGCGTGGTGCCGGTCACCCACCCGCCCACCCTCTCGTGTGCCATGTGCCGGCCTTCATAGGTGCCACTCGCTAACAGCGCTCGCCCCAACAGTCTGTCAAGGTTCTTTGTCTTTGTCGTGCGGTGGCGGCAGGCGGTGTACCTGCACGTACTGCCCCTCTACTTCCCGCGCTCGCTCGAGGAGGAGGCGTGGGCGCTCTCGCTGCTGCCCTACGACATCGGCAACGCGGAGGGCGAGCCAGTGGTGGCCGAGCGGCAAATCCGCATCACCGACAAGCCGGGCCAGGTTGACAGCGGTACGACGGAGGGCTCGCAGACATTGGCATCGTAAACCGGCGCTCCCAGATAAGCCGCGTGCTTGTGCGATTCGACGCCGTGCGTCGCGAGCGCAAGGGGTTAAGTTTAAATCGGTGAATCGAAAGCTTCGCCGGTTGATTGCTGAAAATGAATGGAGAAAAAGGATAAAAACACTCCTCGATGACACTTCTGATTTGCATCTTCTTGGTTCTTTCTGTAAAGAAGATGAATCCCTGCAGTCATGAAAGCTTTAAATCTAAACATTCTGATTTGCAGTTGCGCAAGGGTGTTGCTATCTTTGACCATGTGATACACCTGTAAGCTGGTGTGAAGTCAAAGTGATTTGTTGCTCAAAGGAGCATTGAAGCAGTGCTCATCTGCTTTCATTGCCCCAGCTACTGGTGGATAATCCACATTCCTACGACGGGTGCTAGTCACTGGAGAGAACAATCGCTGTTGACTAGTCTCACAAAGTGGTACTCGTTTTATCAACCGCAGAGGGACTTTACCGAAAGAACCAAGAAGATGAATCCCTGCAGTCACGAAAGCTTTAAATCGAAATTTAACACGCTCATATGTTTTGTCTAACCATATGTAAGACAAAGATTCCCTTATAGCCTCATCAGACTGTTGGAGTAAGTTCTGTTTAGCGTGCCGGCCTTGATAGGTGAGAGGGTGACTGGCCAGCACCACGCCCGGCCGCCTTTGTCTTCCTAGTGGCAAAGTTTACACACCACACCAGGTACTCATTTAAGGCTGAGTGGACCTTAGGGAGGCCCGGGACCGGTTCAGATAATTGCCACTCTTGTTCGTGAGCCGGGTTCGTAGCGCAGAGCGCTAACCACTACACCACCGCTCCCCATATACACACGTGCACCAGGCCCCATTTACAATACAGTTACTGCATCATGAACAAGATCCTTCTCAGTTGTAAATAATTAATTACTGTTTATTGTAGCTCGGTGGTTAAGACTTATCTCGTGTTTACCCCAACAATTTGACCTGACCTTCAACGCACGATGAATGTAGCTCGGATTTTTAGAATTCACTCGGGGAGGGGGGGAGATGGGGGTGGGGGTCGTAGCAGCGATGCATCGGTGAACCAACTCCACATTCCAATCCAAGGAGGACAACGGAGTTACTCTGCAGGAGCATTGCGCCGCTTAATTTCAAATTTGGACTATCATTTGTGGCCAGGTCGCTTCTGAAAAAGCGTTATATAGCTCCACTGGGCCTGACCTGGTAAAATAAAAAAATAGTTTTTTAGATTATTTATTGTACTGGCGGTGTAATGTAGTGGAGTGTGGTGTGCAAGACAGATGGACGTTTTTTTCTCCAGCTGTTGGGATTTTTCCAGAACGTGCCTCTTTTTTTTTTTTCCCTTCTTATTTCAAGAGTGCCTTTGCCGACACAGAAAATGCACTCGAGGGCGTGGAGTTTTGAACCGCGCTTAACATTTCCATTAATTTCCGCCGACTCGTGTCCAAAACCCTAATCACATTACCCGCCGTTAAAGGGTTGCGTGTCAGAAAGTTTTCACGCTAATTTGCCTAGCCGCTGTCAGACCCGCTGCCTACCACTGACATAACGCGTGACTCACCCCCGCCACGGACTGACGGGCCGACGCGCGCTGCCCTGCCAGCTGATATCTGGCGTGCAGAGGCAATCTGAATCATCGTCTGGAAACTGTTTATTTTCTTCAAAGTAAAACGAGGATGTCAATCAGGGCTGAATGAACCCCAATTACTTCAAGTACTTGACACTGTGACTTCCCAGTAGAGTGGATAGCCCCATTGAGATTCAACAGCTACCCCCCACCGCCCCGCAACCACTGTTGACTTTTTCACAAAGTGGTACCCACTTTATCAACCCTGGAAGGATGTTGGCCTTTAGTGCAGCCCCTGACATGCAGCCCCCGACAATACACAACGTGTGAAAACACCGCCCATCATCATCATCATCGTCAAACCCCCCAGTGGTTGAAAATGCGTGGCGGCCCTAACACTGATGATGTCTTATCGGCGAAAGTGGCCTCCCTCTTAAAATTAGCGAAGAACACTGGCTTAGAGCATCTGGCTCCTATACTTTTCCACACGATAAGCCACTTCATTGAGCTATCATGTGTGGCCGGGTCGCTTCTGAAAAAAGAGCTGCATTAGCTCAGTGAGCCTTGCCTGGTAAAATAAAAATAAAAATTGTTTAGTTTAGAAAGCCTCGGCGCGCCGGCTCGCGGAGGCCACGAGAGGCGACCGTCGGTAATGACTCGCGCCGCTCGTCCGCTCCCTCCTGCGCAAGGCTCGGAGAGCGACGGCGGTGACGACGCGAGCGACGACTCGGACCGCGTGGACGGGGAGATGGTGGGCGTGGGCGCACACGCGTTCGCCCGCATGGAGGGCGACCACGACAAGCAGAGGCAACGGAGCCTCATGTCGCCACCGTCGTCCGACTCCTGGCTCAAGGCTCACCAGCGAACGTGAGCTGGCAGCGCCGCGCCGCGGGCCCTCCCCCCGCTCCCCAGTCTGTCACCTGCCCCCCCAATCTGTCCCCTGCTCCCCCAGTCTGTCACCTGCTCCCCCAGTCTGTCCCCTGCTCCCCCAGTCTGTCACCTGCCCCCCCAATCTGTCCCCTGCTCCCCCAGTCTGACCCCTGCTCCCCCAGTCTGACCCCTGCTCCCCCAGTCTGACCCCTGCTCCCCCAGTCTGACCCCTGCTCCCCCAGTCTGACCCCTGCTCCCCCAGTCTGACCCCTGCTCCCCCAGTCTGACCCCTGCTCCCCCAGTCTCTCCCCTGCTCCCCCAGTCTGACCCCTGCTTCCCCAGTCTGTCACCTGCTCCCCCAGTCTGTCCCCCTGCCTGGTTAAGGGCCCCGCACTGGCTTGGTTCAGTGGAAAAGGGCTTTGAGTAGCACAAGTGTATTTCCCCCCACCCCCTACATCCCCTGAAGGTACCAGCGCTGGCTTCGGAGGGCAAGGACCGAAGACCTGTCTGACATCGCATCACTCAAGGCCCTCTACCAGACAGGTGAATGCAGCGTTCTCGAGCCCCATGAACAGTGGAGTGGCCCAGTTGTGGCCGAGCAGCAGGGCCTGGCTCTGTGTCCCCATTCTCCTGTGAGCCATGTGGCGGCGGTGGCGGCACCGTGCGTTTGGTCCCCTCCCCCTACATCCCTCCTGGTTCCCCTCACCCCCACCCACCCTCACCCCCACCCGCCCACCCCCCCAGCCCATCGCTCCCGCCCATCCCCCTGCCCTCCGCTCACCCTCTCTGTCTGGGTGGGTGTCAGGAAGCCGATTTAATAGAATTAATTATTTTTTGTTGCAACGTTTCATGTCAGCATGGGCGAGTGGCAGGGTTGGGTGGCGTGGGGGGGGATGGTCAGTTAGAATTATTAAGTGTTCAAATCTAAAAGCGTAATTACGTGCTCCGTGCTCGTAATAACGCAAAACACAGCGGGATGAATGAACCGAGCGAAGCAACCGACGTGGCGGGTAGCGCACGTCCCATTTTGTGGCCTCGCCCCGCGGTTTCACCGACTTGAACCGGACGTGGGGGTAGGGGGAATCTCGTGCCGTGGATCCTTCACGTTGGGGCGATGTTCGAGATTCGCATTGGTGAAGCCACTAAAAACAATGCGCAGTCCCCCCCCCCCCCCACGGATTCCCAACAAATTCCACCCTGGCAATGTGACTCCTGCTGATTTAAAGAGGGGGTTGTCATCATTTTCCCAGAGTAGTTTTTGGTTTATGCGAGAGAGAAAAAAAAGCATAGTTGCGGAATCGCGATGCGTTCTTAGAATTTTTAAGCGCTGGATTGTGAAAGAGTTAGACAAATGTATTCTTGGTCTGTCACCGGTTAGTTTATGCGGTAGAGCGCACGACGCGCGTGAATGTGCGTGCGTGTATGTGTGGAGCGGTAGTGTCGCTGTGAGCGCGCTACGCTACGAACCCGGCCACCCGAGTTCAATTCCCGCTCACGGCTAACACCAGTGACAGTTATTTTAACCGGTCCTGGCCTCGCCTCGGTCGATTCAGTCTCAAATGAGTAACTGGTGCGGTATGTAAACATCACCACTGGGGAGACAAAGGCGGCCGGGCATGGTGCTGGCCATCCACCGCTGTCGTGTTGGTCTTTATAGGTGCTACTCCTGAACAGCACTTGCCCCAAAAGTCTGTTAAGGCTATAAGGGGATATTTTGTTTTCGTGTGGAGTGGTAATATAGTGGTTAGCGCACTGCGCTCACGAAGATGCTGGCCACCTGAGTTCACTTCCTGTTCATGGCCAGCATCAGTGATGAATATCTGAACCGGTTCTGGGCCTCTCCTGGAGTGACTCGGCCTTAAATGAATGCTTGGTGCAGTGTGTAAACATCAGCAATAGATGGGCGTGGTGTTAGCCACAACACCACCCCGTCGTGCTCCTTGTTGGCCTTCACATGTGCTCGCTAATAGCACTGGCCCCAACAATAGTCTGTATTTCGATTTAAAGCTTTCGTGACTGCAGGGATTCATCTTCTTGGTTCTTTCGGTAAAGTCACGTAGAAGGAAATAATAAAAATAGAACATAATAAAATAATTATCACGACGTTTCGGCCACAACGCAAGCAGCCGTCCTCAGGTGAAGAACAGGTCTGTCGGAAAGACAGCGTCTGAATGAAAACCACCAGACCTGTTCTTCACCTGAGGACGGCTGCTTGCGTTGTGGCCGAAACGTCGTGAGAATTATTTTATTATGTTTATTTTTATAATTTTATTATTTCCCTTCTACGTGACTTTACCGAAAGAACCAAGAAGAACAGTCTGTATGTCTAGTCGGGAGTGGGGTGGGGCGGAGCGGGATTCATTACTTTTTGTGTTGCCTGTTCACGGCGCGAAATTGAATCGTCGCTCCATGAAACAACAAAAAAATGGAAACGCGTCGGGGAAGCGAATTTAACAAAACTTTACATTTGAAGTCTGATCACTAGGCAACTGCTTGCGTGCGCGCTATCCCAAAATAAACCGCGTGGCGACACGCGGCACCGTCTGCTCGCCGCGTTTTGTTCACAGCCGGTCGTGCATGTACCGAGCGTGGAAATAGAAGCGCTGTGGAACGCGCACAGGCTTTCGTGGAACAAAGCACATGTGCCGTGCCGTGACGATTCGGGTAAATGGCTAGCGTTGGTTTTTTAAAGAGTGTTTTGTATCAGTAATGTCTCCTCTAACCAGGGCTATTCTCATAAATAGGGCTCGCTAGTGGGACTACACTTGTGTCGACCTCCCCGCACCGATGGCCAGCCTTGAACTTCCACGCTCGATTATGATCCGTGACCTCCGGTTCATCTTAAACGTGACTTATTTGTCCTTGACGCGATAAAGCAATCGAGACGAAGGCTATGGGTCCTGTCGCCAAAGTCTTGTTGAATGTGTTTTATATATCGTTCCTTTCGATCCCCTTTATGAAATCGTAAATTAACCCAAGGGCTTTTAGAACAAAGAAACAATTTAAAAAAAAATCGCCCTTCATTGCATTTTTTGAAAATGATACAGAGTGAAATGAATACACTTGGCCACATCATGTTAACGATTTATCTTTGTGAAAACAGCCCCGTAGCTTCTAATGCAATCAAACTTAATTAACCAGGCGTCTTGGCATCTCACGTTGTAAAAAGGTTCCACCCACACACAGTGTCCGCTCATTTACACAAGCCATTCTCCCCGTAATATGTAATTGACGTGAACGCCACATGATGGATGATTCTTCCAGTGGGAGCATCTCCAGCCGTAGGTGGGAAGTCATGATGATCTGAATATTTTTCTGGATTTTTTAAATATTTAAAAAAAATGTTTTATTACAAATGTTTAATATATGTTTTTTTAGTAAAAAAAAAAAATTCTGAATATTTTCAATTTTTCATTTTCAATATTTTATACATATATACGTTTTTTTTGTTTAAAATATATATTTTTTATATTTTCTCTGGATCAACCGCTGCTGGTTGGCGGTGGTGTTGATGGTGTTCGTGGTGGAGCGGTAGTGCAGCGCTATGAACCCAGCGACCCGAGTTCGATTCCCACTCACGGCCAACACCAGTAACGAAAATCTGAATCGGTCTATGGTCGATTCGGCCTAAAATGAGTGCCTCGTGCAGCAGTGTGTATACAGCACCACTGGGGAGACAAAGGCGGTCGGGCATGGTGCATGGCCACCCACCCACCCCCTCGTGTGTCGTCCCGGCATTCATAGGTGCTCGCTAACAGCACTTGCCCAAACTGTCTGTGAAGGCTATACGGGAGATCTTTGTCTTTGTTGGTGGTGGATGGGTTGGCTTGGACACTGCCATTCTGTAGGGTTACAGCACCGCGATAACCCCGCAGACACGTAGGCTAGACCACGGAGTTCTGGGTCGGGTTGCCAGCGCATGAGACACTGTGCCCACCCACCCGCCCACGCTTGAAATGCCAGGCTAAGTGAATGGTCTGTGCATGGCCATTATGCAATCATTCACTGCCCTCAATTTTGTACACTACACTCGGGTGTACGTGTAACATGAGCGAACACGTATACGTGGTGCGGTGGTCAGCGCGGTTGCGCTGTGAACCCGACCACCCGAATTCCATTCCCGCTCATGGCTAATATGACTGGGCGAGCAATATCTGAAACGGTCCCGGGCCTCTCCTATGTCGACTCAGCCTTAAATGAGTACCTGGTGCATTGTGAAAACCTCAGCGCACTGGAGAGACAAAGGCAGCCGGGCTCGGTGCCGGCCACAGCGCCTCCTTGGTGCTGTGCCGCCCGTCATAGGCGCTCTCTTAATAGCACTTACCGAAAACGGTCCGTCTGGGGCGCCATGGTGCCAAGATGTTGACTTCCTCGCCTGGTATGCAGGAGGGTCGTGGGTTCGATCCCGACCCTGACGCCTGTATATTTGGAGTTTGCATGTTTTCCCCGTGGTCGCATGGAAGTATGCTAAACATTTTGAACAGGCACACATGTTCTCAAATTTCCCTTTTATATATATATAGATGGGGGATCTTTTTTGCTTATCTAATACGCACGCCTTATTAACAGTGCGTACGTTTTTGGAATGCGGGCAAAAGCTCAATTGGAACGGTGGCCGAAGAGCGGGCCGAGGGCCATTTGACACGCCACAAAGATGATAACTAAGCGCCCCAATCTGGCAGAGGCAGATCCGCGAGAGCGCCCAGCCGGGGAAGAGAATTACAGCCGCGCTGATTAAATTTCCACGTTCTGCTGCGAAATAATAATGCGGAGCGGGCAGTGGATCGGGGATGGGGGGGGGGCACGTCCGTAATATTTGCCGCCACTTAAAGCGGTTCCATTAAAGCGCATTTTCTGGTAAACAATGAAGAGTCAAGCGCGCGCGTAATGGAATAATAAAGACAAAGCCATTACGGGAGAGGAGGTGACTGGTGGGGTGGCTCTGGTGTCAGAGCTGCCCAGGTCCTGTGTTCGAAACCGAGGCTCTCGAATGTGGCTGCTAGAAATGTCCATGTGATGATGATGACGATGAGCCACTCTCGTTGGCCAGGTCGCTTCTGGAAAATACTTTACCTGGTAAGATAAAAAAAAATTGTCCAGTTTTATTTGTACGTATTTTTTAAAAGTTATTTGCTTAACTTTCCTTCGCTTTGCACTCCTCTATCGTGTTTTTTGTTTTGTGTGTTGTTGTAACGTTCTGACCCGCGCCTACTGGACATGTGTGTAAATAGAGGCTTCATAGCTCATCGGATTCCCGCAGTAAAAACTAATGTTAACATTCTGAGTTGATATGCTCAGCCCGGTCACCAATGTACTTGGACACACATTGACTTACATATAAAGTCCGTTAGGCACGCATCGAGGTGCACCAGTCAGTGTCTCCACGTGTGGTAATTACCAAGCAGTAATTAATTTAAGAAAACGAAAAAAAGGAAACACAAACGGCGTATTTAAGAAACCGTGGGTTGCTGCAGGTTGCCCAAGTCAAAACCATACACCGTGTGTGAGATTCTTTCAATTCGTGTTTAAATGCCGCTGGCTCT